GACACAACCCAGCAATGGTGGCACACTGCCTCCCTGCCCGTTCTGCCATTACCCCCTAATGATCTACCACAAAACCCCATGGTTCTGTGAAACACAGTTTGAAAACCACTGATCTAAGTAGTCACTGAGCCAGAGAGAACATTACAAAGGAGTATCAAGCCTCCTGGTTCAGGTACTGCAGAGGAAGGAGAGGGGGGGAGTCCTAGGCTCAAAGACCTGTTTATGTATTTGTCTAGTGCCTGTTTAATATAAAATGCAGGCACAGTTCCCCATCAGTAAAACAAGGCTAACAATACTTCCTTACTCCTAACCATCTTACCTGTTTAGACTGTAAGCTTTTTTGGGGCAAGGAATGACTTGTACTTGGTGCCTAGCACAATGGGTCTGCTGCTGTTGTATCTAGAAACTATAACAGCAGCAGCACTTTTGATATCAGTGCAAGACCTGGTGCATTTCAAGGTAAAATAACTTGGGCTGGGAACTCTCATTTCAGCTGGTTACTTTTAATCTCAAATTCCTAGCGTTATTAAAATTCAGGCTTACGGTACACCATTCCCTGCAGACACTTTATTTTGCTAGTAAAATAGTAGATGTATCAGAAAACTGAATACCGCTGTTGTTTGACTTTGGTAACTCTTTTAAAAATCCCTTATCTCACCTTATTTGGGGAGTGTACTCTGTCACTGGTTTTGCATAGCACAGAAATACAAAGAAGGCTTTATTTAGCTATGAAGAAATGCAAAACTCTAGAACTCTTGGTTCAGAGATGATACCTTTTATTAGACCAACTAAGACATTGCCAAAAATCAACTTTTTCTGCTATGAAACATCTGCTATTAAATTTATGCTTATTAGCTATGAATATTTTATATATTCCTGAACAGAATTTTCACAGTAGGCAGTAAAGGATTTAAATATGAAGATTTTTTAAAATTTAAGTAACAACCCTATAAATTATTCTCCCTAATTAGGCATATGGAATAAAATAAGAACACTCAGTCTAGGTGTGTCATTGCATAAGGACCAACACACAGAGATTGGCTGGCAGGTGAGTAGTGCATGCTGCAACTTATCCAGTGACTCTGAACTGAAGACATCATTCTGTTACAGCACCTCTGACTTCATCATTCTGTAGGTGGTAAAATCTCTGTTTGCAAGGTCAGACTTTTGTTAACCATGACATCCGGTATAAGTTACATACTTCAAAGAAAGGGGATCACCGACATCCATA